TAAATCATAATGCAGAAGAGTAATATTGAGTATTTAAAAGGTATAGTTTATATTGCTTATAAAAGGAAGTCTAAGGCAGTTTTTTAAATTCTGTTGGAATTCTGTTGTGAGTAATTTGTATCCCCTGATTCAGCATTTTAGCACAATGAAGGAACAAATGTGTTTGTATAACTCAAGTCCTAAGGACAGAAACAACCCTCGACTCAGTAGGGTAGTTCTAAAGAAAAGAAGATGTAGAATAAATGTGGATCTGGTTTCATTTGAAAGAAATTAAGTTGATTGTAATTATTTGTCTGTAACATTAATTACAGTGTACATAACAGATTCACCTTTTTGTTAGAACTCATTACAGTCGTAACTATCAAAACAGCTCTTAAGTGTTCCACCTGATTGCTGTTAAATTTATGCTGTGTCATACAACTGTGACAAAGTCCTTAAAATATTCTTGCCCTCCCTTGTAATAACATGACCATTTCAAATATCACAAGTTGGCTTAAAAAGCCTTTTGATTATACTTATTTAATATATGACTGGTCAGAGAAATTGCTTCATTGTGGTTGCTCAAGAGAAGGCAAATTTATGATTAATTTGGAATTTAAACTGCAGTGTAAATTAATGTGTGTACATTTATCATTGTTTCAGTCGTAGAATAAATAAGTAATCATATGAATGGTTGAGCAATGAAGGATTTACATATTTACATGTGACATTTCATAAATTCTTACTGCTTGCACTAAAGGTAAAGGTAATGTCTGCATATAAGCCAAGTGGCTCATCCAGTCGGAGCTTAATGGGGTTTCAGTAGCATGAAGCAATCAAGAGTATTTCTACTCCCCCCTGGAAGGGATGCTAGTCCATCGCAGGGTTACCCCCAGCATTAAATTCACCAGTACCCATTTATATACCTGGGTGGGGAGTGGCACCATGAGAGTAAAGTGCCTTGCCCTAGAACACAACACGATGACTCCGGCCAGGGCTCAAACCTGGACCACTCACTCTGGAGTCAAGCGCACTAACCATGAGGCCACTGTGCCTTCCACTACATGTAAGACTTGCACTAAGACTTGCCTCTTATGATTACCTGTACAAGTATATGTTCATGTGGATATGTTTGCTAAAATGGCAATTTGGTGGAAACAAGATTCCGCATGGTTTTTTGTCGAGCTGAACAAATTTTGTCAGCCTACTGTATTAATTTTACTCAAATAAGTGCTGTGGCTCTTATTAAATTTTTGGTGCCTCAAATGCAGCTCTTTTTCGAGGGCAGCGCTTATTTCAGGGCAGCATTTATTTAAAACAATAAATGCGGCAAAGAAGGTTTTTTCAATTAAAAGGTGCATTTTCAATCTGTGGGAAAATTTAACAGTAACGAACGGAAGCTTCTCTTTTGTCCCTTCACGCACTTTTCAGTTGGTGTCTTCAGTCAACTTTGATTTCACAAACATCACTTTTGGTGAAAATAAATTTCCAATCCTGTGTTAGACTTGCTTTGTAATACATATTTAGCTACACCAAATTCCTTGAATAAGTGCCGCATCAGGGCTGTGGTGCTTATTCGGGTGCGATGCTTATTAACTTTTTTACCCCAAATGTAGCGCTTATTGGAGGGCAGTGCTTATTTGAGTAAATATGGTACATGTGTTGCAGATTAGCCCTAATGACAAAATGTGTTTTACCGCAGTACCTCAGTACCACAGTAATATTATTGTGTTTGCAATGTTGTATTTATTTGCTCAAGATTTTACTACATAATTGCATTTCTAATCATAGTCAATGTTGTATTTTTTGTTGCAGTTTGTCTTCAACATTGGTTATAAGCAAGATTGGAACATGGTTATTCAATACCAAAGAGGTAGAATATTGCACCCAGGGTATATTGTATGAGGGTTTTGTCAGAAATGTTTGGTGTGCGCATTAATTTAAAACTGTGGCTTCCTGGCATATGATCGCAGCCAGTTACCAATACATGTACTTGGCCTGAAGGCAGTGCATGTTGTGAACTGGTGTGCAAGTATGTTACTTTTGATTTGTTACCCAACTTTGAAGTTGGAAATAGGAAAATGTGGCATCAGGGTTAAGCTGCATTTTGGCACTGGCCATTTGTAAAGAAAGTAGAAAACCTATGTGCAGTTTATCTGGTTTGGGATGTGCATGTATGTGAGATGCACCCTCTTTGGTTACTGGTGCTATGGTAAGCAGGGCTGGAAATAACAGTCCGTCATCGGACATTGTCCGACCAAATTTTGAATATGTCCGGCCAATTTCACATTATGATCAGACATGATGTCCGAACATTTTACCAACAACAAGTTATTGTCCATCAATAAAATTTGGTTAGATACATTGTTAAAAGACTCGAAATTGTGATCGGTACGGTCGCCACTGCGGCTAAAATGTTTATCTTTGGCGGCCAAAAATTCTGGTCGACAGCCGAAATTACATCTGCATTCAAAGGCTACCATAATGGCGACTATGTTTCTCTGTGTTGACGATCAATAATGGTTATTTTCTCAGACATTATGTCCTTCCAGAACTACATAGTGAAAGACCTTTGCTTCTATAACAT